TTAGAACCTGGGCAGAACCAGAGGAGGAGGAAGAGAAGGAGGACCCCTTGAAATTTAAAAGATTTCACTTCTACCATCTCATCTCAGCTTTAACATCCCATTCACAGCTAGGGAAAGGGGTTAGGAAGAGAGCAGAGTTATCTGAAACCCAACAGCAAGGGAATGAGAAGGAAACAAACCCACAGTCAAGGCTCCTGGTTCCAAACCTCACACCTTCTCCCAACTGCGCCCAGGACATCTGATGCTCGCCGAAATGGCAAATGCCCCTCTGTGTCTCTCAGGGTTTCTGTCCACAAGGCTCTTCCAAGCTAGTGGTGAGCAGGTAGATGTAGAAAGCAGAACTTAAGAGCTGCTTACCTTAGCCAGGGAATCTCTTCAGTTTTTGCCGTCTATGAATTAGGGAAGACAGAAGATGGACCATCACTATCTAAACTGAGGTTTATGGGGGCTTCCACTCACTAGCTCACTGACAGGACCACCTACTAAACCTGGACAATGTTGGGAGATGAAAAATCCAACACCTGCCTTTATGGCACTTACTTTGGTCTGGCCATCAGACAAGGGAACTGACAGCCAAGCCAGGGAGATAAGTGCCTTAGCAGAGGGGCTTAGGAGCCCGGAGGAAGTCAGTAATCCTGGGAGATCTCAGAGACAGTTGTGCAGAGCAGGTGATGTCTGACCAGCTTTGAAACTGTAGAAGTTGAACATCAAAGGAAGCATTAAAGGAATGTTAAGCAATGGGAATAACACCTGCAAGGCACAGATGCATGAAATAGGGTAACGGTGGAGGGCAATGGAAATGGGCACTGGTCTTCATCATCTGCAGTCCTTATAGTAGTCTTGTGAGGTCACTATCATTAACTTATTTCCACAGAGGAGAAAACTGAGGTTCAGAAAGGACTTGAGAAATCCTTCTCAGACTAACACTGATATTGGGGCTTGGCTGCTGCTGGCTGAACATATTATAACGCCCTCAATGCAAAATAAGAGTCTGATTCAAATAACACTTATTTAAAGATATTATTAGTCTGGACACTGTTAACTACAAGTAGCAGAAATCCAGTTAAAAGAGTACAGGATTGATGAGGATAGGTAATTGACTCAGAACAGAAGAGTCTGAGAGTTGCTTCAAGCACAGCTGACTCAAATGTTCTAATTGTCACCAGGAATTTATATTTCTCTAGCTTTCAGCACAAAAGGTTGACATCACATGTCTATTTTTGCAGACTCAATGGAAAAGGAGGTCCCTTTTTATTGTTCCAACACAGTATCATTGTCTGGCTTTTGTCATGGGTCTACCTCAAAACCAACTGGCATGATGAACCCAGCACTAGAGCCAGGGCAAAGGGAAAGAGGTCAAGTTCACCACATCCAATGAGCAAAACGTGGGGAAGGTTGGATCTCAAAGAAGAATCAAGGTGTTGTTACCAGGAGAAGGGGAAATGATGATGGAAAGGTGAAAAAGGCAAGTCTCTATGATAACGTGATAGACATCATCTTACTCTGTTCTCTCCTAGAGCCTTTCTAACACCTCCATCTCCAAGTGAGGGCTGAGGACAAAAATGGGCCATGAGGCCATGAAGGCACTTGAGGAGTATTAAGCATACCAGTATTGCAACACATATACAAGAGGTGATCAAAAAGGCAGTGAATAGGGGCTGGGGATTTACCCCAGTATTTCTGTTGCCTGCCTCCAAACACAAGGTCCAGAGTTTGATCTCTGGTAGCAAAAAAAAAAAAGGCAGTGAATGAAATTTTTAAAAAATTTATTACAGTAAAAGGCACATTACCAGTCACCCTCCTCAAAATACTCTCCCTCATGCTTATCCCATCATTCTTGCCACTTTCTGAAGCAGTTCTGGAAGTCCTTTTCTTTGAGTATCTTTACAAGGTGTGATAAAATATTTAGCAAATGCTGCTGCCAAATGCCAGCCCAAAGAAAACCAGGCTGTAAAAACATTACAGTGTGTCCTTACCCACTTTATTCACTGGATCTAGCACCATGAAACCCGTGACTCTTCCTCAAAGTCAAAATGACCATAAAAGGTAAGCATTTGAAGTCAATTCAGCACATCAAGACAGCCAGAACAGGGCAACTAAAAATACTCATGAAAGAAGACTTCCAGAACTGCTTCAGAAAGTAGCAAGAATGATAGGATAAGTGTGTTTGAAGCAAGGGGGGGGGGATATTTTGAGGATGACTGATGGCAATGTGTAAAAATTTTTTCAAATTTAAATATTCACCTTATCTTTCAACCATACTTCATATAATAGGATCCAGGCAGTGGGGAAATTCCAGGTTGGTGTCTCATTCCAAGTCACATTTGGCATGGGTGGTCAACTACGCAAAGGAGAGAGGGAAACCATGCCATCTGACTTTTACAATTAAGTATGCATGTTTAAATGCCTTGGGTAATCATTTAAAAAAAATAAAGGCAATAATTCCATATAGTATAGTGGAAAGTCAATGAAGATAAAAAGGTCAATTTAAAACAAAGCAAAAAAGAGGGGTAATTTTAGAAAAGGTAGGAAAAATTTAAAACACAAAAATAGATGTAAAAAATAAATGAAAACATACTATAATTTTAGTGAATGCAAATGGTATAAACTGGCTAATGAATATATGAAGGTGGTCAGATTTGATGTTAAAACCAAAACAAATGTTTTTGTAAGAGATGGATAGAATAGAAAGTGTTGAAAATATAAGAAAGAAAAAACATATACTAGATGTTATATACAAATACTAACCAAAAGAAACCCAGCTAGCTATATTAATATCAAAGTGACTCCTAAGCAAAACATATTACTCAAAATGGCCATCATATTTTAATAAAAGAGGAAATAATAATTCTAAACGTATATATCAAATAACTTAGCTTTAAATATGTGAAGTTGACAGAACTACAAGGAGAAATTAACAAATCATTATAGTATAAAATGTGTAATGTACTGCTATCATAGTTGAAGATCAAGTATATAAAATCAATAAGGAAATATAATATTTTAAAAAGACAAATAAAAATTTTAATTTAATGAAAAATAAAACACTACTTCCAACAACTAGAGAATACTTATTTCTTCCAAATATATGGGCCAGGGATTTAGCTCAGTGGTTCTGTTGCCTGCCTTGCAAGCGCAAGGTCCTGAGTTCTATACCTGGTACCAAAAAAAAAAAGTACATCCAAATATAGTAGAAGACTTAAAGAGTTGACTATGTACTAGAATAAGAAGCAAGTACCAACATATTTCAAAAAATTATCTGCATAGACAGTAATTCTCTAGCTAGAACAAAGTTAAACAACGACAACAAAATCTTCACATACACATTTGCAAGCACGTTAGTACATCATGGGTAAATAAAAATAATTATGAATATTAGAAAATATTTTCAAGTAAACAATGAAAATTCTACACAGCAAAACTTAGAGTATGTCTCCAAAGCTCTATTCAAAGAGGGAATACATAGCTTTAAATGCTCATAATTTAAAATAAATTTGAAGTTTAATGATCAAACCATCCAATTCAGAAAGTTAAAAAGAACAACAAAATAAGCTGAAAGAGAGATAAAGGAAGAAAATAGTGCAGACAATAGCAAAAATTAATGACAGGAAACAAATATTTATTAAAGAGAAAAGCAACAAACCAAAAAGTTAGAGTTGGGTATCAGGACTTTGTGCCTGTAACCCCAGCTACTCAGGAGAGTAAGGTAAGAGGATTCCAAGTTTTTAAAGTATATATATGTGTTTTATAGAGTCTCTGTGGATAGTTATTGTATTTTTAATGTAATGATTGAATTGATGTGTAACAAGCAATATGTCCCATTAGAGGAATTATTTGAGATGTTTGTTTTCTTTTTATTAATCTCTATGGTCTGTATTTTACTATGAACATGCAATGTTTCCAAAACAGTAGTGATTGGTGTTTAAGCCCCTCAGAAGAAAGAAGGTAGTTATTTCCCAGCCTTGGGGTAGCTTTTCTTTGATAATTCTACTAATTTTAGTGAAAATAATTTCTCAGAGCCACTAGCTCCATCTGAAATGTTAACCCAAGGACAGATACTAGCTTGCTTAGTCAAATATGTACACTGCTAACACAGAAAAGGCTACTCAGAGCCTCTGAAAGGCCAGATTATGACCTTGTAGTGAAGGTGGGGTATTCTGCAGAGGGAGGAACACCTAAATCCCCAGGAGAGTTTGGGTCACACCACAGCCTGCCGCAGTGGCTTGGCTGGGATGTCCCCACACATTGAAGGCACCATGGGGGCTGGCTGGGTCCTTGCTCACAAAGTCCTACAGAGTCAGGCTTCCAAATCCATAACTGCCATCTGATAGACTAAGGGAAGTCCAGTATTCTCTCCTCTCTGTGTGAAAGGAGAAGCAGAGAGCTTGGTTCCCCTTTGCCCTCACTGTGTGTTCACAACTTACTCAAATACAAGCAGAGTAACTTGGTGTCATGCCTCTAGCCTTTCCTAGCCTGAACAAGGCATGCTGTAGATGCTCAGGAATCATTTCATTAGGATTTGGAAGTAGAAGATGGGGTATAGATCACTGGTAGAGTGCTTGCCTAACATACATGAGGCCCTGGGTTTGAGTTCCAGCACTGAATAAGAAAAAGATTTGGAATTAGCAAACAATAACTGAGTTCTTACTATGAGCCAGCCTATATCTATACTTACACATATTGCATAACACTGAATTTTTCCAAGAGTTGGAAACAAAGTGTTCACATCTATTTGTGGTTCACAGAAGCGAAGTCACCTCACAAAGGCACACAGTGTGTTGGAAACAGAGTTGGGACTTGAATGCAAGTCTCCTGAACATTCCTCCTTGTGGATGGAGAGAAGAGGGGCCTTTTGCACATAGGCTGTTCCAAGTGGCAAAAGCAGGCCCCCAGTCCATCCCACCCGAGCCTTCCCAAGGACCTAGGAAGCAAAGTAGAGAGGTGAGTCTCTCGCTCCGCAGTGGCCACCTCAGGCCTGACCTGTGCTTGTGTCTCCACAGGAAGCCAGCTCTGTCCTGCACCACGTGCTCCAGCAACCTCCTGAGTTGCTGCAAGAACCTGTGGGGCCTTCGGTTCCTTCAGAGACACCTGGAAAGTCCCTCAGAGGAACAAGCTGAGGAGCCACTGTCTGAGGAGACCCAGACAATAACAGACCAGGAAGCAATGAGGGCACTGCCCTCTGAGGCTGTTTAGACCGCCCAAGGATGAAGATATTGGTCCTGGTCACCCAAAGTTGACACTGGGGCTTCTAAGGACCCAGCATGCACAGCCACTGAGGAAGAACCCTGGGGTGCTGTGGTCCTCCAGCCCAGCGACAACAGTCTGTTCTGTGCTCAGCATTCCCAGACAGGGGCTCAGGACTCCTCTGGGCTGAATTCCAGGGCTTCAAACCTCACATTGGTGCTGGCCCTAGGAGTCATACGCAGAGACAGTGGGACTTACGGGAATGTGTACACATGTGTGCATGGATGAGTATGTGTAGGGACATGCATGTCCTCAGAGAAGGAGCAGAGGGTGTTGCTCTAAAGCACTGGCCTCTCACTCCCTTGTGGGGTCTGCATGATGAAGGAAAGGAAAGGGAAGGCAAGGGAAGGGCAGGGCAGGGCAAAGGTGGGAAAAGGACTGAAATTGCCTTCATAAACACCTACTATGTGCCAGGTATTTCACTTGCACAAGATCTCATAATCCTTACAATGTGTGCTTAGGGTAAGGGCCACCACCTCACCTTTACAGAGATGGAAACTGAGCCTCAGAGAAGCATTGAGCCTGCTCGAGCTACTCAGCTAGAAAGTATACTTGGCACATAGGAGGTACTAGGAAACTATTTGTTGAGTGGATGGATGGATGGATGGATGCGAAGATGAAGGAAAAGCTGGACCTCATGTCCATACACTTTTTTTTTTTTTTTTTGGTGGCCGGGGATCAAACTCGGGACTTTGCGCTTGCGAGGCAGGTGGCAGAACCACTGAGCTAATTCCCCCGCCCTCACATCCATACTCTTGACACTACATTACACTGCCTCTCCAAAGAGAGGCCAAGATATTTCTGTGACTCAGCCTACCCTCCCGTTAGCGGGATCAGACCTTCAGTCCTGGGGATCCTGTCACTGTCACGCTAAAGTCTGACCTTCTCTAGTGCTTGTTATCAACGAAAACCTGTGTGTAATGGACTCACTGGGGACAGTGTGACTGGCATCAGGGAGGACAGGTGCAGGCTCCAGGCTGCAGAGGTTGTGAATGGGGGAGTTGACCCAGCAGTGCCCTCTGCTGGCCACATGACCTCGGACACATCACCTGACCCCTCTGAACAGCTCTCTCCTCCTGTTTGAGGGATAAGCACCCCTTTCTTATTTGTGGGATTTCTGAAGAGACCCGAGAAGATGGGGTTATTAAGAGCTCCAGAAATATGAGGGTGTCCATGGACTTCTCTGCCCCAAGGGCTTCTCAATGGCCCCACCCCTACCTGACACTCTTCTCTTGGCTTCCAAGATCCCCACCTCGTCTCCCCAGGACTTTACAATTCCTGTATTTTCATCATGCTCAGCCCAGCCATCACGTGTAGCTCTTCCCCAGTGCTATCCTGAGCCTTGTTTCCAGTTTCTCTCCCTCTGTGGCCTTGTCTACACCCATGACTCCAGTTCTGAGGCATGAGACAGTTACTTACAGATTTACAACTAGAGGACAGGCCCATTAGAGAAGCTGTAGACCCTCCACTGCCCACAAAACACCTCCACCTGGATGTTTCAAAGATGTCTCACCTTCAGTGTGTCCATAACTATGCCCTTGACCATCTGCCTGTACCTGCTCCTCTCCTGGGCTTCCCCTTCTCAGATACAAGCCCATTGTATGCCTCAAAGTTTGAGAATCACCTTTGGGACATCCCTTTGCCTTGCTCCTCATGTTCAACCCTCCTGAGTCCTAACCTCTATACATATCTACCACCCAATTGATTCCTTCCATCTGCCCTGTGATCACTCAGTCCAACTGCCATGGTCTCCATCAGGGCAATTGGAATAACTTCTCTCCACATTCCCCACTCTACTTCTTCCAGTCCACCCTCTACTCAACAGCCACAGTGGGCTGTGCAAAATGCAAATTTGATTGTATCACACAAGAGAAAACCATCTTCAGCATGCCCCATAGGCCCTACATAGTTGACCTGTACATGTCCTTCCAGCCTCCTCCGTAAGCATACTTCACCTTCCCTTCTCTTTGCTTCAGCCCTGCTTTCCTTTTTATTTATTTATCTTACTCTTTCCAGCAAACCAATCACTCACAATGCTATTTCTATGACTTGAAATGCCCTTCTTGCTTTTTGGGCCAGTTGACTCCATGAGATCTCAGCTAAAATGTCATTTCCATGAGAAAGACTTCCTTGTTCCTAAATACTAAACCAAGCTCCTACCACACAACCTCAGAACTTTCCTTGGAAGCTATTGGCATAGTTGTAATGCCACTGTCCCTTCTGTGATTCCTTGAACATCACCTGCCTCCCCTACTCATGAGTTCTTTCTGTTGACTGTTGTCTGTCCAGCCCCTGAAGAGTACTGGCAACAGTAAGAGCTTAATGAATATCTCATAGATGATCGAGAAGAGAAAATAAAGAATGCAGAGACTGGTCAACTCCAACACTTAAACAGGCCAATAAACCTGAAAGCATGATTTGCCTTCCTGAGCCCCAGATATACTTAATTTCTCAGCAGAATTCCTTCTGGAAACTCAGAAACCCCTCTTTGGAAGTTTCCATAGGAGTTTGAGGCAGGTGGGTTTCTAAGTGATGGCCAAGTAATTGGAAGCATAAGACCTCCAGTGCCAACAAACTTCTGTCCCTAATCACAGACTTTGCTGGTCAAGGCTCCAGCCTAAGGTGTGCATGAGCCACCTAGCACTGTAGAAGACTCCTGTGAGTCTGTGTCTGACCTACTCCCTCCTTGCGGAGGCCTCTGGGAGCCACTGCTGGCTGCAGAAATTGGGTACAGGCTGCCTGGAGGAGCAACATCTGTGGTGGGACCCTGAATCAATGTTCTGTGTTACCACTGCGTTCCAATAAAGCTATCAAAACAGATGCTGCCTCATGGTTGTAGTTTTTAACTTCCTGGTGAGGAAATACGAACTTCATCACATGGTGTCTTGATTTAGAAAGAGTCATGTTAAGATTCTGGGGTAGAAGCCAAATTGTAAATTGCCTTAAAATTTTAGTATGTTTTTCAGAAGCTACATTTTTTCTTGAAAGACCGCATAAGCCACAGAAAGGAAAATCATGGATAAGAGGGGCTACTTGTAAGGTCATATTCTGAGTGGATATGAATTTCTGGAGAGACACTCATTAACCCACTATATCACCTAACGTCTTCACTTACAGCTTAGGAAGTTTAGGCCTTGAAGGGGAAGTGACTTTCTCAAGGTCACAGTTTCCTACTCACCTGATGAGCTAGGCACATAGCAGGTATTGGGTATTTGTGGTTTAGAATGTTCCCAAAATTGTCAGACGCAGAGATACTTTTGCCATATAAGAGAAAAGAACATCTTTAAAATGGAAAATCTTGTGAATCAAGGAAACCCACAGTAGGGACAGGGTAGGTGTGGTTCAATCTTGAGTTTTATAGGAGGAACGAATTCCAGAGATAGTAAAAGTTTTTAAGAAGGAAAGAAGACCTTGTCAGAGTCAAAGACAGCCTGGATAACCACATTGTCAAAAAATGAGAAATTAGAGACATTTATAGCTTAATGGATGCACATTAAGGTGATACTCTTAAGTGAAATAAACAGGACACACGTGTAAATACCAAACAGTTTCTCTAGTGTGAGAAACTGAAAGTGTAAACAAGGACTAAAAGGTGTAATAGATAATGTGAAATAGGAAGAAAAGGAGCAAAGAGGAAGGGGAAGTGGGAGGGGTAGGGGAAAGGAAAGAAGGGAATGGAATTAATATGAGAAAATGAACAAACGGAAACAAAGTCTTTGTAAATAGGGAGGGATGGAGGGGTTGAAGGGAGGGCAGGAAGAACCAAGAGAGATTATGTAAAGGTGCACATTTCCAATGATGAATGTCATTATACTGTATACCTAAAATATACCAATAAAATTAATTTTTAAAATAATAAAAAAAAGAAAATCTTCCCTTTGCTTTACATAAAGAATTCTGGACCATTCCTTTGTGGAATAAAAATAGTATCTTCTTTGACCTTTTAAGAAATAAATCTAGATTGATGGGGGAAAAATAAACATAAGTCCCCTGGGATGGAAGGGAGGGTTCTGGAAGGTATAGAATCCTGAATTTTGGACCTTCCAGAAGAAACAATTAAGACACACCTTGGTGAATTTTCAAAGAAAACAGAGAAAGATGGTGAATAAATCAAAGCTGACAGGAACTGCTCTGCTTAAAATAGCTTTTAATATATGTCAGGGAACAAAGACAAAGCTGTGTGAAAGAAGACTTGGGAAAGGTGAAAGCAAATTAAATCAAGGATTGTGTTAAGCTGTTTTTAACTGAACTGCTAACCTCTGAATTATAAGCATGGGTGAGAAGGCCTTGGGGGGACTAAGTAGGCAACCAGTCAGGGCTGGAACCCAGGAACTACAATTTCTAGGCTCCTTTTCTGGCAGGTTCAGATGGCTCCAGCGGGAATTGGAAGAGAAACAAAATCTCTTATTGGTAAGCAGGCAAAGGATTGGAAGAAGTGAGCAGGTGGAAGAGGACCTGAGAGGCAAGTGCACTGCTGCAGACTGTGGGGCCACAGCAGGGCCCCTGGTGGGTGGAAGGGACCTTTGCAGCTGCATTGGGAAGGATGCCTCATGCTACAAGTAATGGGAAGTTTTTGAAAGGTGTTAAGCAATAAGGGCTTAAAATGATAAGATCTGTGTTATGACTATTCAGACTCCATTTAGGAAAACAGATTGGGGGGAATCAGAGAGTAGAAATAGAAAGAACATGAGGACCCCACAGCAGGTGAGGGTGAATAGTGACACTTTATGAAGATCTATTCACTGCAGATCTCCAATTATGGGGCTGGGAACCTAAAGGGACCAAGTGCTGTCTATCCTCCAAGAGATGGGTTTGGATCTAAGCATTACAAGGGAATTGGGGAAGGAATGGGTCATGGAAATGAATGGGTGATTGTCAAGGCCAGGAGGAAGGTACAATGTGTGAGTGTGGGAAGATGTAGACCACAGTCCTAGTGAAGCTCTAGGGATATGCTACTGGTGCACACAAGACTGGGCCATGTTCAAACCCACTTTAGATGCAATACAGATGCTAGGGAATTGCTCAGTAGCCCAGATTAAGGAACCTATGTAAAACCCCTCTCAGCTGAGCTAGATAAAATGAAGAATCCAATTCTACTGACAATGACTGAGTCCTTGTAAAGTACTTGGAAGTTCACCTTAGTCACCCAATTCTGTGTAATTCTAAGACTAGCTTTTGAGGGACAGTTTACCCTCCTCCTTGTACAGATGAAAGAATGGAGCTTGGAGCATTTAGATGGTTCTTTCCATAACATACAAGCAGGAAGTGATCACCAAGAACACAGTTCCCACTAGAATTCCAAGATCTCACCAGAATTTCATTCATTCCAGCAAGAATTCAGGAGCCCTGGCTGGTCCCTAATAGCCTGCAGGGTCAATGGTAAGAGTTCCCCTCTGCCTCATCAATAGCCATAAAGGGCTTGTAGATCATTATTTTGGCAGTCATTGCAGATGTGTGCACCATGTCCCCACTCTCCCTGCATAAGGTCACAGAGCACAAAGTGTTTCTCATGCTGTGTGTTGCTACCACGCTAGCCCAGAGCACTGACCTAGCTGCATCAGAGCCTTCGCACACCGGGCCTTTGCCGAAGTTCTCATATGCTCAGTAGGTTTGGCAGGACCCCTTAGGAAACAGGACCCCAAAATATCATGTAGTCTAGGTTGGTCAGCTTCAAAATGAATCTATTACTTTCAAATGATATTTATGAGTCCTGTCCCCATGTCCAGAGGTTATGTTGGCCCTTCTGCAGACACTGTCTCACTTCTTCCATGGGCCATCCAATGAGGCAGAGGTCACCCAGCACCCCATACCCTGGGGCTGATGAGGGAAACAACATGCAGGATGTGAACAACCCGTGTAAGTGACATAGCTCAGCTTCAGGTTCCAGTTCGGTCTGCTTGTCTCCAAAGTTTAGGTCTTTTCTTTCTTATTCATTTTTCTGAAATTGATTTTTAAGGCCATAAGTGATAATAGAGGTAGAGTCTGTAAAAAGTTGAGCCAGGCATGATGGCAGATGCCTATAATCCTAGAACTCTGGGAGGCTGAGCCAGGAGGATCACAAAGTCAAACCAAGCCTGGGAAACAGTAATTTAATGAGACCTTGCCCCGAAATTTAAAAAATTAGGAAAAGACTGTGGATGTGGCTCAGTGCAAAGCCCCTGAATTTAATCAATAACAACAAAATGTTACAGACAAAGCTAGTATCTGGGTACCTAGAAATTTAAAGTACCTGGAAGTTCACCTTAGCTCAGCCAAATCTTGAGCTCAGAACTAGTTTCTGGGGGATAATTTAAAATCCTCTTTGTGCAGATGAGTGAACCAACCCCACCCCAATCTTTTCTCCCTATTTTCTCCACTGAAACTGTTTCCCTAGTTTATTCTATGATATTTGGTCCTATTTTGTTTTGTTTTAAAAAGAAAAGTTACACTGTACCTAAAAAACTGAACTCAACAATATGTCTTTGAGTTTCTGCCATGATAGCACATAAAGATCTCCCTCATTATTTATAACCACCACAGCTTGTTTCATAGTATCAGTACATGTTATGGTTTAGATCTAAAATGTCCTCCCAGCTGAGAGGCTCTGTACATGGTTCCAAAATAATGCCTAAGGAGACTTAACTGACCTTGATAGATAGCAAGAGGTTCATACTGATTGACACAGGTCTCACTTTAACTTGGTCTTAAACACCCAGCAGAAAAGAATAACCAAAAGAGGTATAAAATAATGCCATAATAATAAAGCTAGATATAAAAAGGGGCTCCAATTGCTGACCCCTTCTGGCAGTTTCTAGCTATACCAGTAGCTGACCACGGTTATGGATCATTAAGAAAAACTACGGTAAAATCTATAAGAACTCAACTAGAGTTTTACATTTCTGGGCTAAATTTGTCCTTCAAATTGTGTCTATCTTACAGCTAAGACTGGAGAGACTTATGACAAAATACCAGATTTATAGATAACCTCCATTAATAAAACAGTCTGAGAGCTACAGCTTACAATCACTATTTCATTTTCTAAGTGTGACTCTTTCCCCAACCTGCCCTTCCGTTTTAGTGCTCATGCTTAGATTACACACAGTCTAATATTTTAAAAAATTTGTTTATTCTTGCCTACAGGCTGCCAAACTCCAAATGGTCATACAAATGGAACCAAAGACAAATGTGCTACTTCTTTTACTGGGATCCACTAGATTGACCTTGTAAAAAGTTCAAAACTGCTAAACTACAATACAACTTCTATATTGGATTCTGAAGTCCCCTGGACCCTTATCCTCTTTATGGAAGGCTATTACTAGTTCTTCCTAACTTAAAGCTATAAGAATACCCAAGATGATAAGGCCTGGCATCTATGGAGGGTCTTTAGATAGACCTTCTATAGAGTAACTCTAACTGCTGATCACAACTACAACCCTCTTCAGCCAGAAGTAGCCAGAATGGTCTTCACCCCTTGCTCCATCCCAGCAGTTAGGGGTACATCTTCAGAGGGGGGAATATTGAAGGTAGGTAAGTTAATTAGATATCTTGTAGGCAGTTAGACTGGGCCTCCCTCAAGGTGCCAGCCCTCAAGGCCTCAGTCCTCAAGGTGCCAACCCTCCAGGAGCCAACACAGTGAGGAGCCAACACGGAGAACAACTGAGGCACATTCACTGGTTAGCATTATAAAAAGAAGAGGCACTACTTCCCCTAGAGATAGATAGCAGTGATTGATATTCTAAATGGGAAATTCCTTGTATGTGACTTGTTTTCCCATTTGACCCCCATTTAATCAATATTACCTGGCTGTCTGTACCTGTAGTCTTATTGGTTGGTCCTGGTTT